TAATCTGCTCTCCAACTTGAGTTCTGTGCAACCTCACACTGTCTTAACCCTTTGACGACCGAGCGCTCAAACGTGTCTAGCGTGTGGGACCGCACGCCAGACACGCATGTGGCCCGCGGCGGGCCATGCGGTCCCAGGAGACCACATTTCTGCTCATTTATACCAACATTGACTAAGTTGCAAACTTTGTTCGGCAAGTCACCGTACTAATCAACCATACATTCTAACGCAGATGGAATATTAGTAAAGTACCGGAAAAGACCAATGAAAAAGACCTCAGAATACTAGTGTAACAGGAGTGTTTTGCTTACTGTTGAATTTGCAGCTACCGAAAACAATTTCATTTCTTGCGCAAAACTTGCATTCAAAAAACGATCACATTTCGATACAAATGCTTCTTTGAAGCTTCTTTCATTAGTCACTGTGGTGTCAATAATAAGTAACGTTATTCAATAGACGGCTACTACCACAAACTGAATTCCGATTTGGTGGCTTCAGTTGGAACCTTAGGTATAGCTGGCTTTTTTGACAGGGCAGCCATCTGCTGCACCAACCAGAACTCTCACTTACTTACATGCTATTTGTATTACATCTGGTCTGTATTACACCTAAATGTCAACACTTTCACTAACCAAACAATGAAGCCCACAACGATTAGGTCCTATCAACTGAACCATGCAAGGAATATTACTAGTGTGGCACCAATTGGAGTTGAGACTAGTGCTCCGGTTTTCCAAAACCACCATATGTGCTGTGTTCTTATTCTGTGGGTAATGTTGATAATTTTGCTAACATTACCATCAGAAGTGTTCTCAGGCCTATTGTTCCTGGATATCTCCCTACAAGAAAGCAATTCGTGGACTACTGTGTACATAACCTTGTTAGGGTGCTGTGATCATATTTAGTAACTAGAATTTCCAAAAATGTCAAAAGGGAGGAAATACAAGAAATTCGCTGCCCTGGCCCGCCGGCGGGTCATACGGTCGTCAAAGGGTTAATGGGAGATTTTAATCTCAAGATCAACTGAGACTAGAATGCCCCTGAACTCTTCTCCAAAAATGTTCCTTGATTTTTTTGAGTGTATCGGTTCGAGCAATTTATTAACAAGCCTACTCATAGCGGAAGTATTCTGGATCTTATCCTCTCTACTTCTCATAATATCTCAAATGTATCAGTTCTTCCGCCTTTTGGGAGCTCTGAACACAGCGGTGTCTCTTTCACCGTTCCCCATGCTACATCCATCGCTGGATTACCTCCAACTCCTGACTTTCTCAGAGCTGGTTACGAACTCATAGACCGCTACCTACAGCAAATAGATTGGTTTGCCGTTTTTGAAAACTGCACATCCGCAAGTGAGGTCTATAGAAGATTTTGCTCTCCAATCTACAAGGCCATGTCGATTTTTGTCCCGTTTAAGTTTTCAAAGAGATCATGGCTGTCTTATCCATCCCATATTCTGAATTTGATTGCACAAAGGCGCCGGTTTTTTCTATCTCAGCCTTCCCCCTTACAGAATCCTGAATACAAACGGGTGTGCTCAAACCTCGATCACCATATTCAGCGTCACAGCGAGTCAGGCGAAAGTCACAGCGAGTCAGGAGAGACTTCTCCTTAGTAACGGAAAGCTGAAGGCGCTCTTTCATTATATCAGGCAGAAGACCAGTCACCGTCCAACTCTTCCTGTTCTTTCCGACTCAACGGGTTCCACATTTATAACCGATAAGCAGAACGCGATGCTCTGGGAGAATATTTTGCCATGTCTTCTCCGCTGACAGTCTTATCGATGGATTTAGGGTGAGGGTATCCCTGAGTTCACGTGCAGTCTCTCCCACAATCTTTTCCATCCCAGCGAGGTTTGCCGCATATTAAAGACGCTCAGACCGTCGATTTCGGAAACCTTCGACGGCATACCACAAACGATCTATAGAAAATGCTCACGATCGCTCTGTCAACCTTTAGCTCAGCTGTTTAATATCCCAATGCTTCTTGGGGAAGTAGCTGCACTATGGAAAGAGGCTATTATCCGGGCTATCCAAAGTTGCGAAAAGTCATCTGCTGTCTGATTTTTGCCCCATCAGCATGACACCTTCTTTAGCCAAGGTTATGGAAACACTAATAAGAGATAAGCTTTTGCAGTGGCTACATAAATTCAGAGTGATCCCGTGTGAGCAACATGGCTTCCTGAGGGTGTCCCAACAACGACTGATCTTCTTGACAGTCTTTTTGACTGGTCAATGGCGTTGAAAAGATATGAAGTTGTAAACGTAATTTTTATAGATGCCATTCCAAATTGATCAGCAAGCTCAAGCATCTCGGCATAAGTTTGCAGCTGCTGGTGGTTTATATCGTATTTGGATTCTCGGTACATGACTGTGAAGGTCTGTCGCAGTTTCTCTGAGAGACACCACTGCCTCAGTGGTGTCCCTCAGGGTAGCGTGCTATCACACCTGCTTTTTCTCATTTACACCATTGATCTTCCTGCTTCTATTAGAACATCAGTGGATATCAAGGCACAAATGTATGCCGACGATATAAAGATCTATGCCGCCTATAATGAGAACAATAGAGTAGCAGTTCAATCCGCACTGAAGCAGTCGGTCAATGAAAATGAAAGAGTGGGCCTGCTTGTGGAGCTTATCTACCAAGCTTGACAAATGTTCATTTTCACATATTGGAGCAGGATGTACCCCGGATCATGAAATCAGTAATGTCAAACTCAAAAGCTGTGATAACGTAAAAGGTCTGAGTTCATATACGATCGAACCTTAATTTCCGCAATCACATAGAAACTGTGACCAGGAAAGCTTTACTTGTTCTCCACATCATCTTTCGCAGCTCCCGAAGCAAAGACACCAAAGCCCTCCTTAACTTGTACAAAGCTTTCGTGATCCCTAATCTGGAGTACTGCTGCTCCATATGGAATCCTGCCCTCAAAAAAGACATAGCCAAGTTAGAAAATGTACAACAAACATTCACAATACTACTTTGCCTACGATGTCTCTCCAGCGACAATTATGGTCTTACCGAGCTATGATGAACGTCTGAGATCACTTAGCCTACTACGTCTAGATCATAGGCGGATTACGAATGATTTGACTCTTGCTTTTAGCATATTAAGAAAAGAAACCAAGCTTAGTCCGAGTAAGTACTGGTTGTTCCTCCCTAGCAATGGTAGAACCGGAGGTTTCAACCTGCACAATATAAAAATACCAGGGCAACAACATAGTCTTTTGTTCAACAGCTTCTTCTATCGTACAGCAAGGCGGCTCGGCCAGCTACCGACTGAGGTACTTCGATCACCTAATGGTAAGATTTTCAGGCAGAAATTGAAGAATATCAATCTATCTATGTTTAGTGCTAATTGTTGATTCGATCACATTCAGAAACCTGATCGATCCTCACATTCAGGCATTGTCTTACTCAGGAAATCCAACGATACCAGTGAAGCGAAAGTTTTCGTCTGAGAGATGGTTGTCTGAGAGATTAAGCTTCCTCTACACTGAGGTTGTTTACTCATGGCTACCAATGTGGGTTAGGTGAAAGACTTAGAATGCTATGAGAAGCTCCTAGTGAGGTATTCCATATAGCCATAGGAATCTGTTGCATTGTGTAACCCTCTTAAGTGTTACTGCTGTTATATCAATTATCGAGTTGCGGCCTTCTCACGAAATCCTTTGTTGGTAGTGCTGTTTAGCGAGATACCCCTCCTATCTTCCTCTTTTGTTTTCCTTGTAATGTTTTCTGGCTGTTTCTCTACCCTCATTTTGTTGACTGACCTTCTCCTCGTTTGCCTACCAGCCAAGCTGTTGCCTGTATTAACTACAGTTTAAATATTGAATTCTAGTCCTATGCTTCCGTCCAAGTTCACATTACCTGTATTCGTGTCATCCGCATGCACTTCTTCTGCACGCTGAAAGGGGGGCCTATGGTGCGCTTTCTGTGTTTTGTCGGTGGTTTGTTCTCGTGGTACCCTGCCGATTCCACGAGGGTGGTCGGTATACCCGTGTTCGCCAGTTTGCTGCCTTAGCTCCTACTGACACAGTACGTGGCGAGTGGGCATCATTGCCGATGGTATACAAGCGATCGCCGTATAATGCATGGTCAGTGGTCATGTAATCCATTTTCAATGGTTCATGAAGTTTGCGGTATTTTTTCCAGTCTTTTGTAGTTTCCTGAAATGATCCTAAAATGCCTGAGCCGTAGACAGTTTGATTCTTCTTTCTGGACTGTATCCTACTCAGGCCTCATCCTCTTTTCCACCTTTTGAATACGGATATGAACCGCTTGGCTCGAAGGCATGCGTGTGTTAACCACAGTTTTTCTTTCCACTTTTGCGCTGTTCGTTAGTTTGGTTCGATGACATTAAGTCCAACTGCCTTCATTTATTTATTTATTAGTATAGTGAGGCAATTGTAAAGCCTGCGAAGTTAAAACTGGTCGTACAATGTACTGATTTATACGGAAGGGATTACAGATTAAAAGGCTATTAATGAGAGGCTCACCTCGTTGGAGAAGCCCACCAATCTAAGGATCAAAAATCGCATTTTCAAAGCTTAGTGATCTCCTCAAAGGGCGGAAGTGGTGCAGTGACAAGTTGTCCGGGCCAACCAAGCCTTCCATCCCTCCGGGGTCGGTTAATTGGTATCAGACTTGCCTGGGAGGATACAAAACACTGACTTGAACATTGGCTGGCACCCGCAAGTCATTGTATAGGCCACATCGCATTCAAACGCCACTACAAATGTACAAATGGAAGTAGAATGCATGCCGCATCCCAAAAAGGGATTGATCAACGGCAAAAAGCATTATTCTTTTATCTTTAGTGATCTCCTCTGTCGACGGAACATTATCCAATTATTTCATCGGCAAAAGAAGTGCCAGCTATTACTGCAAAGCTTTATTCTTGTAGGCGATCCGAAACAAATGGAAAGAAGAATGAAATAGTGAATATAGTTGCTAACTGAATGAAGCACATCGATTACAAGGACAGTCAAAAAGCTTCAAAAGTTTGCCCTGCTAGTCTCTGAGCTAATAGTATGCGTTGCAGTTATTTTTGAGATTGATCGTGACCTAGTTATTTCACGTACGCAAAAGAATCTGTCCCGCAACCACACGCGATATGGGCGTACGAAATAAAAAGATGTAACAGGACTCAACATTGGAATAAAACTGGACAGAGCAAAGGTCGAATATTCGAGAAGCGGATGGTTATAAATGCCAAGCTGTCCGACAACGTATGTGATGACCGCGAGTAAGAAGAATATCGGCAGACATGCTTGGATTGTGAGTGCCTAAAATGAGAGTATAACTCAATTTGGTCTGTTTGCGCTCTGAACGAAATGCTTTATAAGCAAGAACTAATTACTTTTACCCAGTGATGAACATGATTCTAAACACTTGTTTATAGGTGCTTCACAATTACTTGACTTCCTTAATTCAATTTTATAATAACTTTTACATTAGCACTCAATGACGTATACAAAACGCTAATCAGAAGTGTGCACCCTGTGCGTTTGTTGTCGCTCTTTCACAAAGTATGGCATAATCTGGATAAACTACCTCAAAAGGCCGAGGTCAAAATAGGGGTGGGGGTGAGGTCATGAAATACAAGTCCCTTTCAAAGGCAGGCGCCGAAATGGGCAATGCCGAACTTTAAAATACATTCCTTGGGCGGCACTCTAGATATCAAAGAACAAATGGGTAAAGTGTGTACTGGGTAGCCCGAGTCCCATTAGAGAGACCCAACTGTGGTGAGCAGGTCGTTCTATAATGGAAGGTGTTCACTAGAAATTTTCATAACTCCTTGCTCTGAAAGCCAAAAGAACAAAAGGAATGGCGAAAAAGATCATTTTTTGAGGCGCTCAAAGCGAGATTACGATAAAGGGTGAGTGCGAGCTGCCTCAGCTGGTGCGTGAACGTGTGGACGTTCATACACCAGTGAACATAAGAGTAGGAGGCCTAAGAAAGCGAGACCTTTTCGCGGGGAAAGGTGGGTGGTTCAGTGTCCTGGGGCTGCCAATCCTACCCGAGCGCCGCCTCCGTACCCTATACTCCGCCTACTACTGTTGCCAGCACCATCACTGCTCCTATATTTGGATGAGGTATTCCACTTCGAGTGCGTATCCTACAACTTTCCCATAGAAAGCACGTCATCATTCAAAGCAAGATCTCTGGAATGATAGCGGTTATCGGTCAAACATATTCTAATGACCTCCGGTAACAGGTTGCTAGCTTGGCCATTTTCGGAGGTCATCACAAAGCCCAATCACTGTCGATTTGATTCATCGTGGAAGTGGGAATGTTGGATAATACCCCACTGGCGAAAAATGGATGAACTCTGTTAGAAACTCGTAAAAAAGTTTCTTTTTCTTTGCCACCTAACCTCCGATAATGGATGAGCTGTGACCACTTACCAAGTAGTTTGCGCATATTGGTACA